CCCTCGGGGTTTGGTTGGGGAGACAAGCGTGACCAAAATTCAACCCATGAACCCGTCGTGGCGGGAGGCGGCCTCCCCGGGCCTGTGCTTTGACGACGCTGTGGGCAACCAGGACTCCGCTGTCGCGTCTGCTGGCTCCTGCCTCTCCAAAACGGGTAGTACCGGCGGCTCGATAAAATCCTGCTTCCAAACCCGGCCGCCTTGCGCCTCTCGCATAGCTCTCTGTTTCTGTACTGCTTCAGGTTAACGCTCCACACCTTCACCAGACAGCCAGGCTCACAAACAGAATTGCCTCTTGCGCAGTTCCCTTGGACATCTTCCATTCCTGATTACCGGGTTTCAAAGTGCAACAAACAACTAATCCCAGGGCTTATAATTATCTCTTTGTGGAGGATTGTGCAAGCCTCCCGAGATGACTTTTGGAGCACTATGTCTGTTCCACTCCTCGGGAGCCTTAACATTAGCTTACAAAGGTACCAGCAAGTAGTAATGCCTCCCAGTTACAATTACCACATCCTGTTATGCAGAAGTGTAGGTAAAGAGGTCTAGAGTGTCTTTTTTTTTTAATAAAAATGAGTTTCCATTAAGATATGAGAGCCTGCGTATTTAAAAGATGAAAATGTCTTAAAGCTGCTTGAAATTTCACAGGGCAAACTGAGTTATGCTGAGAGCAGCTACTGGAAAGCCTATCCCGTATCGAAAGGGGCCACTGAGCTTTACAAAGTAAAGATTGACCATGCCACCTTGCTTTTATTTTTGTTCTTTAGTTGTAATTATTCTGATCCGGTTAAAATTAGTGTGGTTAATTAGAAAGGCATGTCTGGTTTGTTGGCTTGCAGGAAGCGTTAATGCCACTAAAGCACGGAAATAAATGCTATTTGCAGTGAGGCAACGTGCCTCAGTTGAGGTAGCCCAACCATCTATCATAAACCAGCTTAGCCTTCCAGCACCACAGCAACATCAAGTTTCCAGCAAGAGCTGAAATAATACCATATTTCTCTCCCTTTTGCAACACTGGCAAAACTCTCTTGCTTATTGTCACATGCAGCGCCCTGACTTAATGCACCGGTCTTCCTCTTTGTCCCAGCTGTTCTTTCCTACACAATTTTCCTTCTTCCAGGTATGGTGGTGAAATTATGAAGACTTGAAAGGGCTGGCTAAGAAGTTTCTCTGAACTGAAAGAACATTCCTTTCAACTAAGAGCTAACGGTCTGTGATTGTTGCCAACTCCCCACTTCAGAGCTAAGATAATACCGTGTGTGCTGCTCCACCAAGAGCCATCAGCCTCACCCTATTTACTGTTAACAGTTATTAACAGTTATTTACTGTTTTGACTCCTTCTTAGCATGGTGGCAGTTAGCAAGCTACTTAAGGAGTCCATCCCTCCCAGGATGGAAGCCTGGCTTCATTAACATCGAATGATTGTTTTTCCTCACCTTTTTCTTTTCTGAAACAGTATACGGGTTCTCTCCCTTGGCAGAGAACAGGGGAGCGGAGAGGGAGATGCTGCCCAAATGTTCTCTCACTATGATCATCATTAATAAAGCTTCTGTCTGACCTGTCCTAAATTGTACTTCCCTTATTATGCATTTGGAGTCCCCCGATCTCCAACACAGGTTAATAATCACAGGATCTGTTTCTCAAAAAGGTCCTCATTAATAAAAATCACAATATGCACCTAATGTTTATAAAACACACAGCGTTAATTAGAAATCTTTACATTTAATTAGAAATCTTTACATTTAATTAAACAATAGAAAATTATTGAAGCTGTAAAAATCCACTGTCCTGATCAAATGATAAAAAAACCAAACCAAACAAAAAACCCACCACAGAAGTTGATGCTGCCCATCACTAAACCTTCCAAGAGTCGAGAACAATTTTCTCCTTTAAAAGTTCACCAAAAAAAAAAGTCACATCTACATTTCTGCTAAAAAACAGAAACACATTGAAAATTCCCAAGGCAGGGAGAGGGATTTGGAAGAAACAAATACTTGAGCCACCAGTGAAAAGACTTTTCAGGTTCTTGGCTCTCACAATACAGGCGTCCTTACCAACGTACACGTGGGACAGACCTGATCTCCAGTCTGACTGCGCCTCTGTACAACGCAGCACTGGAGTGCCCCATGTCCACAACTCCCTTCGCTCAGCCATGAGCGGGACTGCTCCAGAGGGCTGAGAAAGAGTCAAAGTTCCCAGGTTTTTCTGTTCAGTTAAAGGCGTTGAGGATTAACCTTAATACTGGAAGCTGCGTTTAGTCTGAATGTCGTCAAGGATCTGCTGTAATTCCTCATCTTCAAATCGGCCCTCCAGGCTGCGAGGTAAGTGCAATGAGGGTACATTAAAGGTTTTAGAAATAATCTCCCCCCGGATTCATCGCAGACAGACGTAATTCTCTCCCGTCAGTCTCAACACCGTAATTGCCCACCTGTACAGCACCACCTGTAACACTACTGCACAAAGACCACTCTAATCCCTGTGCAGCACCTCCTCTTTAAATGACAGAACTCCATCTTTCCCAGAGCTTTCTGCTGAATAATTTCAAAACGTTTTGTCAAAAAGGTGAGGCAGGTGCAGGTTTAAACAGACACCTAAATGAAGTCCATACGGCCTCACGCTCATAAGCCAGTCTTGCTATGAAATCTTAGCATACAAGGAAGAAACAGAACTGGACTGAAGAGAGGGCGTCTGCCCATAGCTGGCTTTAGATCACAGGGAAATACAAAGCAGTCCTTTTACGACATATAAACGCTCACCTCGGAATCAAAGCTTTTGCTTCCTCAGCTGTCTCAGGACACAGGTTAGCCAAACATGCCAGTTCAAATTTATGGAGCTTTTTCTGGAGCAGCAAACTGTAAGGAAAGACAGTAACTTGGTGAAATTGGAAGTAAGCTAGACTATAAAGGGGCATAAACCAAATCAAATAGGTATCTTTTTTCCACCCTTCTTTTGCCACTGAAACCAGTGGTTTTTTCCACGGGAAAGACTCATTATATAACTGCACAGAGGAAAAGAAAAAAAAAGTCACATCTGTTAACTCCACTTCCCCAGAATTACTCTACAAAGTCTAGAGAATCCTCCCATTGACTGCAATCAGCTGTCACTTAAATACTGAAAACAAAGCAGTTCAGATGGCTTGATCCGAAGTACAAGCCCCCGTGAAGAATTATGATCAAACTTCTTGCCTCTTCAGAAGGACAAGATTCAGAATTATAGTACAAATCAGGAAATGCCACTGAACTGCACTTTCATAAAGCAACATCAGTATTAACAACACCAAATTCTCCACTAGTCTTATACCCTAACTTTTCCACTCACCTACGGACACTGGCGATGGTTTCACGGTTTTTGAAACGGCTGAAGCGTGCTGTGTAGTTCAAGGTTTTCATGAAGACTTCTGAAAGCTCCTGCTCATCTTCTGCACTCTCATTCTGTTGCTTACGATGCTCAAGAAGCATATGTACTTCTGAATTTAGAAGAGTCTCTGCAGTTTCAAACTCTACATTTGAATGAGTAAAGGTAAAAAAGGTAAAGCACAGATGAAAAAGTCCACTTACAGAAGTTTTCTATGTAAATTTAGCTGTGGGCAATAAGGAAACGAACAATGTGTTTCACTGTAATTATGCAAGCCCTTTCACCAGTGACTGGGCAGCATTTTGTACTGAAAATGCTGATAAAAATTACACCATTTTGAGTGACAATCCAATGCGTTTGTCTTTTTGACCACACATTTTACATGTGCAGTCCTAACCTTCTGATCTGTCACATTTTTGCAGTATGTTTTCTTCACCCATTTTTGGCTGAACTTAAGTAATGTATGACTTGTTTTAGAAAAAAAATATTTAGAACTGTAATATTAAAAAAATTCAAAAGTGACGTCTAAGGTCTTTGGAAGTCTCTGAGGAGTTCTTAAAGTAAATGTGGATGCTGCTGAATATTTTTTAAAAGGCTTCATTTACTTGAAAGGTTAATTGGCCCACTTTATTAAAAAAAAAAAGTTTTAACCAATCTTAACAGATCTTTGCCCCTTTTTAGCCAATTCTCCTTGGGTTTGTTCATCATCATCATTACTTGTATTTATTCCAGTAGCAAGAAAGTCTTTCAACATCAGTACAAATTGTTCAAAGCAGCAGGATCAGAGATGGCATCTCGGGGTGCCCTTCAGCACCATTTTACAAAAGCAGTCAGCTACAGGGCAATGCTAGAAAGAGACTGGCAACCTTTATTTTGCATGGAGCAGGAAAGCAACTTGGGCTGTACATGGGCAAGCTATAAATTTTAGTGTAAAAACATCCAAAACTCAGTCTTGGTAGCTGGGCTAAGGCTATGCTTTTTGTTAAAAAATGCAGCATGATCCCCCCTCCCCCCCCCCTTATTTTTTCCTCTTCTTCCAGGGCAGCTCTGAGGAATTGATACAGCTCTGGAATTCATACTGAATAGTTTTCTGAAAAAAATACATAGATTGTTCGTGTCCCTGGACACAACTCAGGCTCTGGACAGCTGGCTTCCAAAAACGTTGCACTACCCTGCTGTCGAGAAACACTGACTAAGAAGTAACGGCTACATCGAAAATCAAGAATCTTCTTGCTGCAACTTCATACGAAGAAGGATTTTTTTATTCCTGTATGCACACCCAGTGCTCCACATCGGTAAGAGCAGCCATATTTTAGCAATCGTGGGTTCCTTAAATACACACATGATTTATTATCCCTGATTTTTAACACCTGGGGCCCTGTAGCTGCTCTGTCCGGGGCG